TTGATTTGGGGGTTACCGATACAGCTTAGTGAGTGGGCAAGTTTACAAATACAGAATCTGAATAATGAACATTGACTTATTTTATATAAATAGATATAGATATACACATATCTATATCTGTATATATTTTTCAATGAGCCAACCTGTGGGGTTTGTTGGAGAAAATTCAGGGGGACCTCTATTGTAGCATTTTTGGCTCAGTAGCCAAATGGTGCCAGCACAGTTTCTGGCACATTCCAGGGGTTCAGAGACTATTTCTTGACCGAATGAATGAACATCCTGTTGCCGTACAGAGGTATGCCTCACCCCCAGTGCCATTGCCAGGCCCCTGCCAGCTACTCATTAACTGCATAAGTAGCAGACGGGAGGTGGCACCTTGCCGGGATATAATTCAACCCCCACTAGGGAAGCACAGTTTGATCTTAAAAGGTGATTTATAAGCTGCGAGAGTCAGTTGGTTCCTGTGGCCTCCTCAACATCCCTTTGGGGCTTCCTCTTAATTCTTTGGCTGCAGAAATTCGCAAATGGAATTTTTCAGACAGGCCGTAAACGGATGGCAGATAGAGATCAGCTCTCTGATCCGACAGCGGGGTAGGCTATGGATTATGTCAGAGAGGGACAGGAGGTGAGCGCTGGGTGTGGGTCTCAGAGCCTCGCTGAGGCCCTGGGGTTCAGGCCAGCCTTGAGCACAGTGCCTTTCAGTGCCCAGGTGTGCCAGCTACGAGCACCTCTCCATCCTTCTCTGTCGCCCCCTTGATAGCCTCTTTTTTTGCCATTTCAGCCCTAAAATTCCCTTTGTGCTGACATACTTTCCCAGTGACCCGAGCAGTGTGTAGTTATAAAAGGCTACCTTTGGAGGACCACAGAGAGTCATGGTAGTCTGCACCTGTTTCCCCTTTTGGTAAGATGATGCCCATCAAAGGAATGGTGGGGCCCTGCTTGGGCTGGGCTTAGATTCTTTCCTGCTTACCTGGTCTTCCCCATTTTATAAAGATCTGAGTTGATGGAAAGCTCAGCAATTCGACATTGCATCACCTGTGTGGTGAAGCATGCCAGGCTGTGATGGCACCTGGCCTGTGGCTCTGAGTCTGGCTGGTGCTCTCTGATGTTCAGTCTAGAAGGCTGCAGCTTCCCGCTCCACAGTGTGGCTGAACTAGGGCTTCATTTGGATTTTCCTCAAATGAGTGTCTTCCTGGCGTGTCAGCCCTATGGCAAAGCCCAAAGCTCCCATAAAATGTATTGTTCCTAGAATTCTCTGGTAGACCATTGGTTAGGGCTTTGCACTTCCACAGCAGGGGGCATGGGTTCGATCCCCGGTCCAGGAACTAAGATCCTGCATGCCAAAAAACAAACAAAAAAATGCATCGTTCCTTTTGTTTCTTGTCCTGTAGATGCTCGAGGCCTCATTCGGTGGATGCTAATGGTGAACCCCGACCGCCGGGCCACCATCGAGGACATCGCCAACCACTGGTGGGTGAACTGGGGCTACAAGAGCAGTGTCTGCGACTGTGACGCCCTTCACAGCTCCGAGTCCCCATTCTTGGCCCGCATTATCGACTGGCACCACCGTTCCACGGGGCTGCAGGCTGAAGCTGAAGCCAAAATTAAAGGTTTGGCCAAACCCGGGGCCCCCGAGGTCGTGCTGGAGCGTCAGCGGTCACTGAAGAAGTCCAAGAAAGAGAACGACTTCCCTCAGTCTGGCCAGGACTTGGTGCCCGAGAGCCCATCCAAACTGAGCTCCAAGCGGCCCAAAGGGATCCTGAAGAAGCGGAGCAACAGCGAGCATCGCTCCCACAGCACTGGCTTCATCGAGGGTGTCGTCAGCCCGGCCTTACCGCCCACTTTCAAGCTGGAACAGGACTTGTGCCGGACTGCTGTGCCCCTGCCAAGCCCCCCCGAGGCTGAAGTACCAGGTAAACTCAGCCCCAAACAGTCGGCCACGATGCCCAAGAAAGGCATCCTGAAAAAGACCCAGCAGAGAGAATCGGGTTACTATTCATCCCCGGAGCGCAGCGAGTCTTCGGAGCTGCTGGACAGTAACGATGGGCTGGGTAGCAGCATCCCCTCCCCCAGCCCCCCGGACCCGGCCAGGGTGCCATCCCACAGCCTCTCCTGTCGCAGGAAAGGCATCTTGAAGCATAGCAGCAAGTACTCAGCAGGCACCATGGACCCGGCCCTGGCCAGCCCCGAAATGCCCACACTGGAATCCTTGCTTGAGCCGGGTGTCCCTGCCGAGGGCCTCTCCCGGAGCTACAGCCGGCCTTCCAGCGTCATCAGCGACGACAGCGTCCTGTCCAGCGACTCCTTTGACTTGCTCGACTTGCAGGAGAACCGCCCCACCCGCCAGCGCATCCGCAGCTGCGTCTCTGCCGAGAACTTCCTCCAGATCCAGGACTTTGAGGGGCTCCAGAGCCGGCCCCGGCCCCAGTACCTGAAGCGGTACCGGAACCGGCTGGCAGACAGCAGCTTCTCCCTCCTCACGGACATGGACGACGTGACTCAGGTCTACAAGAAGGCGCTGGAGATCTGCAACAAGCTCAACTAGCTCCCGGGGTGCAGGGGCGGGGGGGGCTGGGCACAAGGGAGAGGAGTGCGGGTGATGACTGGGCTCTGGAGCTGGTTACCTCTTTGCTGGCTGTGACAATAGACTGACAGAGGGATTGGTGCTGTTTGGCTTTGGCCAAATTTGAAGGCTGAGTCAGTGCCTATGTGGGAGAGGTGGGCAGTCGGCCAGTCCTGCTGACTGCCAATTAGAATTGGGATCCTAATTGGCATTTTGCTTTATGGCATCTCCTAGGGGACCAGCTGTCCAGGGGAGGTGGTGTTGGCCAGCATTTCCAGGATAGGGAGGGAGCATATGGCAGAGGAAGCATTTCTCTAGAAGTCATCTGCATGCTTCTGGAGGAGGGCAGGACAGACTATAGCCATCTGTTTCGACATCACTCAGAACTTGCCCCTTCTCATGTTACTAGCAGGCTTGGTCTGACTGCATAGGGAGGGCATGTCAATTTTAGTTATCTGAGTTTGAATCAGTGATCGATTGATAGGGGCTGCTGGGGGTGTTGGTTTGCATAGCCCAGTGGGAAGGAGTGCTGTGATTGATTAGTAATGGCTATCATGGGGATGGGAAGGGGTGCAGTAGCACTCATGCCTTGTAGTTATCATCCTTGACCTGGCTAAGCCCTGGGAGTGTTAGTGTAGATCCCATGGGATCTATGTTGTCTCTTTCATGCCACCGTGGGGCATTTGTTAATTTGCTACTCTACCTTGAATGGAAAACAGGGCCTTGGTCAGAGAAAGAATGCTCTGGACACTGCTAAGGACTTAGAGTCAGCCCATGGTGATTGTTTGGCTTCCTGTTGTCTGCCTCTTCTTTCCCAGTGTCTGCCTGGCTCTTGAGCACAACCTCCTGAGGGTGGGCAGGGGAAACGTTGGTGGTGCCAGAGGTCAAAACTATGGTGTAGAACAGTGCTCGAGACCCTCTGTGATCTTTCTAAATGAACGGAAATTGATCCGTATCAGCAAGGGGGCAACTTGTCAATTTCTTTAATGTCTCAATATTAACTGGAATTCTGCCTGTGGGTTCTCACCTGCATGAATGTTTTGAATTGGATGTGATACTGCCTACAGTCTCCAAAGGAGTAACTGAGTCAACTCTTTACCCTGTTTATTCACAGTAAACAGTTTCCTCATCCACTCAGTGTAGAATCCTCAGAGGTAGGCGAGTTTGCTTCTGGGAGTTAGTGTGTAGGTGGGATATTTGAAGGAGGAAAGTCAAGTCAGGCAGAAGGTGTTTTCCCCCTCAAATCTAGGTATTCTATGTCATGGGTTTGAACTCCTAGACTTTGAGGGAAAGGTTCCAGCCACTCAAATGAATAAGCTGCTGAAAGAGTAGAGTGGGTTGGGAGGAAGCAAGTGGAGAGGGAACATTTCCCTGGATGTCATCCTGATGGTTCTGGAGAAGGCAGACGAGAGGTGTGACAGGACTCTTATCTTGAAAAGTCACATAACTCACTTGTGTAACTCCTGGACACCCAGATTGCAGGTGAGACGACATCACTCCCACAATGGGACATCTTCAGATACTGAGTTTGGGATTGATGGTCTTATTTGGGAGTTTGGGATGACCTCAGCTAATTGAAACTCTTGTTTCAAGATGGCCAACTTCTGAAAGCCACCTGGATATTTGAGGAGAACTAGTCTTGGGGGGTGTTTGGGGGAAAACCAACATGGGGAGATGAGAAGGAATTTACCTTCACACACGAAGAACATTGATTAGAGTGAAACTGCCCTCTGCCGAAGGAGAAAGCTCCAGTTCTCCCCTTGTCACCAGCTCTGGGGTTTTGGCTTGTGCATCCCTTCGGGTTGAGCTGAGTAGTGTAATATGGGAAGCTTTGCGGGTTTCCTTTCATTCAATTCCACCTCCTTCCTGAACTCCAATATAGGTTCAAAGGGAAAAAAAAAAAAAAACTTATAGCTAGTAAATTGTTTGTGGGGTATGTGGGTGCGTGGAGGGCATTCTCCAACCTCTAAAGCTCCCTCTTCCTTGTATCACTTTATGCAGCCTTTTCTGGACAGCCTATACTGCCACATTGCTGGTCCCTCATGCATGGCAGCCTGTCTAGTTGGTAGCTGTCAGTGTGACTTAGGTATAACATCTGCCTACTGGTTGATGTAGTTTCCTTTTGCCCAAGTGATTGTGTCTGTTTAGTATTTTCCATCCTTATAATCTTTAAGTAAAAGTGACACTATTAAGGAAAGTCATTCTATCCCTAGCCTCCAAAATACATGTGTTTTCTCTTTCTCAGTGGACCCAGACAGTGAATTGTGGCAAAGCTAGTCCTCCATTCAGAGGCAGAGACTGCATTGACTCCTAGTCTGCTGGTGGTCTTAGGCACCTGCAGTATTTCAGGGGCTGAGTTTTCCCTTCAAAGAGGGCTGGAGATCAGCTGATCTCTCAAGTCCCTGCCTAGTTCTGACATTCTGCTAACATCCTCTGGATGTTGATTCTGGATATGATGTTGACTCTGTCCTTTCAAAAAAGAAAGAAAAAACTTGGAATAGAGGGAAAAGACCTCAAAGCAACTCCCTTCCTTCTTACTAAGTCCTCTCATCCCTTCCAGCCAAGGAAATCGTGCTTGATTTATTTCCATGGAATTACAAGTGAGAGACACCTTGATGACTCGGTGGGCCAAGCAGGAGACTCGGGGTCCGCTCTCCTGGTCCTTCCTTGCCTCCGTGGGCCTTTCAGCGTCTTAGTTTACACATCTGCCAAAGGAGTAGAGTTAATACTTCTTTTTACAGGTAAATTTCAAGGCATGATCAGTTTTCAGGAAGTGCTTCAAGACCCCAGGTGAAATGAAAATGCCAAGTGCTCTCTGAATTTCCATCCCTGTTACAAGGTGCTGCTTCTGCAGATGGCAAAGAGTACCTTTTGGGGTGAAACTCAGGTGAGTGTTGGCCAGGCCTGTTGTCTTGAGTACAAATGTGAATGACTGACTGACTGCTTATTGCCAAACTGGAAATGTTCTGTAGGGATTTACTGGCATGGTATCATTCCTAGAAGAAAAAAAAAAAGAGAGAGAAACTTGACTGCACATTTTTTTTTTAATCCATGTTGTGACTTTTATTTAATTTCTATTTTTTTGGTAATAAAAAGTTGACTTTTTTATTTGAATTTGTCTTTTTTTATTTATTGGTCTGAAAGGCATTTCAAAGGTATTATAATAATATATTGGTGTAATTTAATTGGTGCAACATGCTTTATGGCTCCAGTCAAAATTGGTTTTCATTCATTTGATTGGTTTGAGCCCAGGACAGCCTACAGGGGATTTAAAAAAAAAAGCTGGATAACCACCCAAAGTGTTTGCATTTTCATTGGAAACTGATTTTGTTTTTGTTTGTTTTTATTTTTAAATTAAATAAATTGCCATGAACTGAAGTGAACTGGAAACTTGTGTCTTTATTTGGTTGTTTTTCTCTGAGTTAAGAGATAGACTGGGTATTAAGTAACAGAAACCCATTAAGCACAAAAGGGAAATTTCTTCAAAGTTCTCAGAAGAGAAAATATAGCTGGCAGTGCAGTTGGAACCAGGAATTGAAAAAGTAGGATCCAGGCCCTCTTTTCTGCTCCTTCTCACAGTCCAGTTTTATTCTTCTCCTTCTGTAGCCTTATTTTCTCCTCCCAGGTTTTAATGACACAACTTGGCTTACCCCATAGCTTACAAATTCACACGTTCTCAGTTCTAGTTTCCAAAAAGTTGACCAGGTTCCTGCAACCTGTACTAGAGATGGCATCAAAGGTTAACTCAGCCACACTGGCTTTCCATGTTAGCCTCCTCTGCCTGCCCCCTGCCAGGGTTCTCTCCATCCAGGCAGTTGTTGCCTAGCTGCAAAGAAGTGTGGGACTCTTTTGTGACCCTATGTACTGTAGACCACCAGGCTCCTTCTGTCCATGGAATTTCCCAAGCAAGAACACTGGAATGGATTACCATTTCCTTCTTCAGGGGATCTTCCCGACCCAGGGATTGAATTCATGTCTTCTGCACTGGCAGGTGGATTCTTTACCATTGTGCCAACTGGGAAACCCTGTTGTAGAGGCTGAATCAAATGTGACATGTAAGGGGTAGCCAGAAAATAGAGCTGGTTGGATTGCCACAGCTAACATATTGTCAACTTATGTCAGTGAGGTTAATGTAAAATGGTAACTTTGAAGAAAATCAAGAGATTTAGTATTTATTGAGCTTCTACATGGGTGCTCCCTTCATCCTATTCAGTGGCAAGTGGTAAAAACCCAATTTAGACCATGTTAGGGCTTCCCAGGTAGCTTAGCAGTAAAGAATCTGCCTGCAGTACTGGAGTCATAAGAGACATTGGTTCGATTCCAGAGTCAGGATGATCCCCTAAAGGGGGAAATGGCAACCCACTCCAGTATTCTTGCCTGGAGACTCCCATCAATAGAAGGAGCCTGGTGGGCTACAGTCCATAGGGTCTGGAAGAGTCAGACACAACTGAACCGACTAAGCATGCACACATGCAGACCCTATTACCTAACAAGACAAATTTACTGCTTCATGCAACTGAGAAGTCCAAGATGTGTGTCTCAGGCACAGCTGATCCAGGTGTTCGAGTGATTCCTTGGTCCCTTTTTTACTCACTCTTGCCCGATGTAAGCTTTATTTTGGGGCAGGTTCTCTCTGCATGGCAGCAAGAGAGCTCCAGGTAGTAACAGTTAGCAGTCCTCTTAGTATTTGATCCTAGAGTCAAGAGAGATGTTTAATATACTAGCTTTTATGTGCCAAGAAAGGACGTGATTGGCTTTCTGGGGTCACATGCCTCCCTCTGACCCAATCACAGAGCCCACGTGGAGAGATGCTCTGATTGGCTAGCCTGGATCATGTGACCACTTTGGTATGCTTGAGTGACAGCTCCTTCAGAATCACAGAGCTGGGGAGGGCCTGTTGTCTGAAAAGAAGGAATGTAAACCTGACAAAAAGTGACCCATAATTAGTTGCAACTTTTGGACATTAATTTCCTCATCTATAAAATAGCATTAAATGATCCTAACTTTCAGAGTTATTGTAAAGATTAAATGAAATAAATCACTTACTACCGGATCTGACACAGAAGATTTTTATTTATAAACGAGATCAGGAAAGGCAATAATATAGAAAGGAGGTATTTGTTAGGAAGATTTTTAGCTGTAAAATCAGGTATAACATCAGAAAATTCAGCTGAAACTTGTTTAAACACCATAGGGGCTTTAGTAGTTCATATGTTTGTAATTTTAGGTAGGGTGGATATCATGGCTACTTAGGTCTAGTGGGAAAAATGGATAGTAAATAACAAACAGCAAAAATGGATAGTAAACAACCCCCCCCCCCACACACACACACAAACACCACCCCAAATTAGATTGTAGAGTCGGACACGATTGAGCGACTGAACTGAACTGAACTGAAGAGCTATAAATTAAATGGATAGGCCCCAGAATCAGAGAATTAAGGGAGGGCTTCCTCTTGTAGAGAGTAGTTAGGGAGGGCATCCCTGAAGAGATGAGCCTTGGGGAGAGGTCTGAAGATGAAGAACTAACTATGCGAAGAGTGATCATTCCAGGCAGAGGGAACAATGTATTCAAAGGCCTTGGTGTCTTTAAAACAGAGCTTTATAGGGTTAAATTCAGGTCCATTTGTATAGCGCAATCATGATCCAGGAAGTCTGGTGTTTTGCTAAACATATGTGGCCACGTTCTAATGTGAACTGGCTGTGATCATTTATGATTCTGTGTATCCTTAATTACAAATGGCTGCTTCCTCTGACAGGTGGTCCCCAGACGAGACATATGCCAGGACATGCAATTTTCAAGGAGAATATGTTTCCACTGCAGAAATTCGCTGCCAATGTATTGACATTTATGGAGAGGATTTTTTTTAATCCACAGAATCATGTGAAGTTTGGGGCATGGAAGTGGAGCAGTGATGTTCTATAAAGATCAGAAAAATGCAGACTAACATTTTCATATCATAAAACCTGCCCCATTCTATCACAACTGTGTGGTTCCAGTAAGGAATTGTGTAGAAAATTAGCAATCCATTTTCTTTTAAAACTGACAGGTGTTTTCTTACTGATAAAAAATCTATACTTCCTATCCCTACCTGACTGGGAATAGAAACTCTATCTTGACCAGCTGGTTCCTCTGTCCATTCCCTATGCTAGTTTTCATTTTTTAGTCTGGATGGGCTATGTTATATTAAAGTAACCAACCCTGAAATGTGGGTTACTCAGTGGCCTTTAGTCTCACCAAGTGCAATATAACTTGGGCAGCTCTTCCTAGCATGCCATCTGCACATGGGCACTCCAGGATCTGAGCTTCTTTCATCCTGTGGTTCTGTCATCTTGGGGTCCTTCTTTTCGAGCTATTCCAATGAGGGCAAGAGAGAGCACAAGTCAGAACTTCTTAATGATCAGGACTGGATGTGGTGTTCATCATTAGAAATCAGTCACCTGACCCCAACCTAACTTCCTGCATAGTCTTCAAGGCTACAGTACTTAAAAAAGTGAAAAGTAAAATAAGATCAGATGGACCCATAACAATGGCTCTGTCATAACTTCCATCTGTTTACCATGGGTGAGCGGGCAGCATAAACAAAAATCATTATTGTTAATAGCAACCAAGTAGCTACTGAACTGTAGGCATTGAGCCTTCCCTTTAATGCTTCACCTCTTTTAATGTTCCTTGTGTTTCCTTATCTTTGGTTTTTAAAGATGAAGGGCTTCCCTGGTGGCTGAGACAGTAAAGAATCTGCTTGCAATGCAGGAGACCCGGGTTTGATCCCTGGACCAGAAAGATCCTCTGGAGAAGTGAATGCCTACCCACTCCAGTATTCTTGCCTGGAGAATTCCGTCGACAGAGGAGCCTGGTGGGCTGCAGTTCATGGGATCACAGAGAGTTGGACGAAACTGAACAACTAACACTTCAAAGATGGGGAATTAGTCTTGGAAACATCCAGTAGCTTGTCCAGGTGATCCAGTGTGGAGCTGGGTTCAAACATGAACCAGACTGACCAGCTTCTGAGTCCAAGATTTTAATTGCTCTGTTGTACACCTGGGATGATCCTTCAAGTCAGGCTTCTTGATCACATGCCCCATCCTGTCACCATTCCTGTTCATGAAAATAGCATTTTCCTGCAGAAGCTAAGTAGGTACCACTAGGAATGAAGATGCTGGCCCGAGTCTGTGCATTCTCCCAACAAACACGGATAGGGGAGCAATAGTCCCCCAGCACCCCATTGGAATCAGATTCTAGAAGACCTGATATCAGTAGATAGAGGTGACATCGTTGACTCAGATTTGTTTATGCTAGGGTGGTATGGGATGAACAGTGAGTCTTTCCCATCCTGAGAACCTGCTGGGTCTTAGAACTCTGCAGAGGGGACATAGGCCTTCAGTGACCAGGTCCCTTCTGTCCAAAGCTATGTAATCACATGTGCCCCCAAGGAGAGCTGCACGCATTCTTTCCTGTGCTCTTGTGCCTAACATGACCCTGCTTCTAGAGAACTGAGAGCACAAAGCAATTTCTTGGAAACATATGGAAACACGGGATGTCAGTCTGAGCTGCCTGGATGTGCTTGGGGTCAGGCACAGCAACAGCAACTTCAATCACACAAAACGTGGAGCATTACCATGTCTTCAAAGCCTAGAGCAGGGCCATTGTACAGGTGTGGTTCCAGTTGTGCTTCCAGAGGAACTCCTTGCGGTTAGGTGAAACTCAGGGTGGGAACAATTCATTTAAGAGGCAATGGAGAAAAGGAGCTCCCCAAAATGGCCATCCTGAGAAAGTCCTGCAAATTGGAATTTG